ATCAATGAAAATGTCTTACATATTTAATAATATCGATTAATGAAATTGAAGAAAAAAAATACATAAAGCTTTATTGTCCAATGTTCAATGCTATTATATTTATTTGTACACCTATATTCATTCCGAGCATCAATAGAAAAATGTTTTTTTCTTTTTTAATAGAACGAGAGTGATTTGATAAAAAAACATTAGATTCATTTTCACTTAAATGTCATAATTTTACCATAACAAAATGTCATAAGAAGCGTATGAGTTTCTTCTTAATACAAATTATATTAAGCCAAACAACAAAAGAGAAGTGCTGATTATCATGAGTATCTTCAAGATGAAGGAATGAAAATGAAGAAGTCTGAATCTACGGTTATATACTGATATTAAGTTATGTGAGTTGTACATAAAAATGATCAACAGTCATGTCGATCTTGAGTCAATATCTCAATTTTAAACGAATCAAAACCAGTTTGCCTGTATTTAATTATAGCCATTGATAATTTTACTATAAGAGAGAGAGAGAGAAGCAATATTCATTTATTCATTAAAATATGCTTTGTTTGTATAAAACTATTGAAATATTTTATAAAAAGAAATTTTTTAACAAAAAAACTATGAATTATTCTATAAAAATAAATCAGTTGATATTTGTATCAATAAATAAACGTATAGTACGAAAAAGATTAATATAGAAGAATTATTTGTCATACACAATTGATTTTTTCTTAATATAAAACTTGAGTTTTATTTTATATAGAAAAAGAATCGATTTTGAATATGTAACACGTGTTTAATAATTTTCAGATTATAAGTACGATATTATCGGTTTTTCAACAGAAATTTTGTTCATTTTTTTTTAATTGTTGCAGTATTATGAGTCAATTCGAATTTTTTTTTCTCGAACACAGATATTTAAATTGTTGTTAGTATCATATCTTGATATTTAAGACAAGTATATTAATTTTGAAGGCTTTTTATACTAACGAGGGAAGGCCACCAACTGTTCCATCGCTTTTGCGTTGAAACTATTTGCGTTATGTAGTTCCCAAAGAGTTATGAATACCCTGAAAATATTTTGGGCTGATAGCTTATTGTAACGAGAATAGTCCATTTGTAAGGTATAGGTTTTATTGAGTGCCGCCTGGGGTCCCCTTCAGGAACATTAAAAAAATTGATTTTCGAATTTCGACTTGAAACTTTACATAGAAAGACATCCCAAGGAGAACAACTTTTTATGAACGTTTCAGATCATTCTAGTGTTCTTATCGCTAGACACTGCTATTGTGAAATTTGTATTTTATATCTTTCAAATAAAGTAGTAGATTTAGTGAAACAAACAATCAAAAGGCTTAAAACTTTCAGAAAACACTATTCTTATTGAGAAGTATTTCTATGTAAAGTTTCAAGTCGAAATTCGAAAATCAATTTTTTTAACGTTCCTGAGGGAGACCACGGCAATCATCAAAAACATACCTTACAAATGGACTATTTTCGTTACAATAAGCTATCAGCCCAAAATATTTTCAGGGTATTCATAACTCTTTGGGAACTACATAGCACAAATAGTTTCAATGCAAAAGCGATGGAACAGTTGGTGGCCTTCCCTCGTAAGTTTGAATATTTAAAATAAGAATAAATTTGAAATTGAACAGGTTTTAGATTCCCATTATTCATATCATTTTATGTTTTGCTTTTGTTTAGAATAAACTCTATGGTATAGATATATATCTATACGTAGACCTATATATTTATCAAGACGACATAGACATCAATACCTATTATTTTCAGTTACTTAAATGTGTATGCTGCACGTTTTCTATTACAAAAAAACAATTTGACATCATATTATTCAAATAATGTAATTTTAGTTGATCATAAACTTATATTTAAACTCATTATCTATCTCTGAACAATTATTCTAAACGTATTTCAGGTCAAAAAAACATTTTCGTAAACCTATCGTCAGCTGGCAAATATTAGGTGTCACGCAACAAAATATAATCGTATGCGAAGAAATGTAAAATGTATACGAATTCTCTATATCTTCATCCAAAGATACTGCTTTTTGACGAGTTTCAATCCTTTTGTATAGATATAAATAAATTTCTGGTTTTATACTCTATTCTATCAGTCTAGGAAAAATGATGAGATAAAATTATTATAAAAAAAACAAAAATTTTCAGACAGCACGTCACTGATAATGAAACAATGTACCCAAAGAATATGAAAAGGGATCAAAATAATCTTTCTTCTGTGCATCGTTACAAGCACATTTTTATATTCTATTCATGGTTATAGATTGCAAATAAGTATACTTTTTCTTAAATTTATTCTTTTATAAAGTAAAATGCGTAAATCCTTTTTTCTCAAAGAACAATCAGTAAAGAATCAACTATAGATTGTAAAATAGTGCGACTAATTAAATAAAACTAAATTTATCAATGATTACAAAATGAATAATCTAGTTAGACTTTGATCTATCTTGTATGTTGTGATCTTATACCTGAAACGCATTCTAATGTCATGATATAAATGTTTTGTGAACTATTCTTTCAAAGGCACGTATCAAAATCAGACGCGACGATGGAAATTGTTATAATAAGAATGTATATTCTGTTTTTCATCAATCAGAAACATTAAACTCCAGTATTCCTTTGACAATGATTGTGAAATAACACAATTCATAATAGATATTTGTTCAGCTTGTCATATGCAGAAATATTTTTTTAACCCAGTATGAATATAAAATAAATTGTTAAGAAGGATAAACAATCATCCGAGGTTTGTTAAAAAAGTGCATTCATTATTTTTTTAAATTAGTATCATTATAGATCATATCACTTAGTCTTCTTCATAAACATGATTATAATCTTACACATGATAAATAGAATATTCTTTTAGCTATTATTCCTATTTATAATACAGCAAAAATAACTTCACGAATAAAATATCTTTTAGAATAGCGCAACCATTAGCTATCAAAATCAATCGTTACTGTTAGATGTTTTATCTCAACATCTCAATCATTTATTTAATGTTTACTGTATTTCAATGATTTAACAATGCAAAAGCGTGAGATAGTCTAGTATTTGAAATTGGTGGTAGAATAATTTATAAACATACGACTATGATTTATATTTAGAATTAGAATACAACAATTTACTTATATTAATAACAATATTTATTTTGATATTTTCAATTGATTATTCTATTGTTATTCCTCATTATTCGGAAAATATTAATATCTATTAACGACAATACTTTAAAAATATTTATACTATCAATTTGGAATATCTTGCAGTTATACTATGGTTTGCTTTTTCTATAAAAATGAAAAAAAAAAAACTGTTTTATTTTAGATTCCATTTATATAATTTGATATGCACGTAATGCATTGCGATCATGATAGTTTTAGATATATTAATATTGAAAACTTCCTTTCTTTTGTAAGACATCATATAAAAGGTTCATTGAAATATAGAGATAAAAATTTGGATTCACTTTTCTTCCGCAGATTGAAACAGACATCGATGACAAGCAATGATACACCATATATGAATAACGTCTCATTATAATAATTTACTTGCTTCCTTGTTGCATTTTCTCGAGTATTCATTAAAAAAAAACCATGGTGAAGAAATGTACCCAAAATAGATAAAACAAAGTGATCTCCTTGTGATAAACAACAGCAGCTATATTGTATTCTATCTTTTAATCCTGTCTCGGTTGCGCTAACAGCTTTTTATTTCTATATATTATATTCACATAAGAATTTTATACAGGAAAAAAAAAGGAGAGAGAAATTTGATGAGTAAAACATTGTTGGAATTTAATACAACAGGTAACAAGAATGAGGGTGCAACAATTTCTTTTACAGAAATAACAGGAACCGACAGTAAGAAAAGTCTGTTGAAAGTTTTTTAATCTATACTTCTGTAGAGTAAATAGTTTTGTAGAAGATAAGAGTTCGACTAACATTGTATGAATTACGGTTGTATTCCCAGGTCGATGATTCCTGAAGCAGTATTCCATGAATTTTCGGCGAAAATCCATAGGAAATACACAGTTTCCGGTCGGAACCCGCGAAAAAATTCCAGAAATTCGACACTGGAATTCGGTGACCGTATCCGGCTGTCGATTTTTTCAAGTTTCTGTCGGTTCCGACAGGAACCGGATCAATCCGGTCACCGGAATACTGCTTCCATGTTCCGTCGATTTCCTGTGGAAATCGGTCCGTATTTCACGACTTGGGTTTTTATGGAAAAGTAGAATCAACTATTTTTGACGTTCAATTTTGGTTGAAACTCTTCATAAACTTTCCATGGTAGCTTAATCCTAAAGGAATAAAAAAAACCTTTGTTGACCTTTTCTCCTTTAGAATCCTATTTGCTGTAAGATTCTTAAGTTTTGATAAAACTTTCAGCGCATGTCAAATGAGAATAAAAACAAAAGACGTCATACCTTCCATTTTATAATTAAATTATTTTATGAGAGCAACTTATCTTATTTAAACTTTAAAGACAAACCTTACAAATTATCATTACTGTTTTCATATACTACAAAATATATCATAGTGCACTAAAAACTTTTTATTCGAGAAAATATTGTTACGATTTCAGAAGGATAAAATCTTATGCAAAAACGTTTCACTACATCGCACAATAAAAAAAAAATTCATGCATGTAAAATTCGAATGAACAATTACTTTGTAATACTTTTTTGATATATAATAAATTTATGATCGTCTTACTGGAAACTTCATAAATGAATGTTGATGTTTTGCATGTGTTCGTAGTAGGTCACGTTGACCGCTAGTGTATCCTTAGACAGCATATATTTTTATTAGTGAAAGAAAGTAGTTTACAGAAACATATATGTGAAAGGGATAATGTTTGATGATCATTTCTTATTTTTTTTCACCTTTCAAAGAAGTTATTATAAGATTTAAAGAATGTTCTTTTTTTCTAGATAAAAAAAAAAGGATGTATCTAATCAAATAAAAATCGACAATGGTTACAAAACGAACATGTGGTTTACCTTTGATCTGTCTTGTTTGTGGTGATGTTGCACGTGGAATCAATTATGGCCTTATGACATGCATGCCTTGTAAAATATTTTTTCGACGACATATACTCAAATCAGATGTAAGTTGTGAAATTCTTATCATAAGATTATATATTTTGCTTTTTTTATCAAACAAAAAGATTAAACTTCAATGTCAATATAATAATCACTGTGAAATAACACACGAAAAAAGAAATCTTTGTTCAGCTTGTCGTTTGAAAAAATGTTTTGCACTTGATATGAATCCACAGTTAATACGTCGTTGGTCTTACAATCAACTTAAATCAAAACATGAACAACTTGTGATAAATAAGAATAAAAATAATCGTCAATTACCAAAGGTTTGTTGAAATATAAAGTTACTCTTAGCGAAGTACCAAGACCGAGCCTCTCGACAAAGAGTCCCGGTATTGGTCGTCTCGGTCGAGAGTCTTAGTCTCAGTTAGCCTTGGTCTCGGTGTTAATGAATATTGGTCTCGAGTACAATTAACTTCTTATTCGTTCTTTATCCTAGGTAAGCATTATATTCACTCTCGGTCGAAATTATTATTTTTTCAGTTTTTCGACCGAGACTGACCGAGACCGAGAGTCTCAGCCGAGATGACCGAGAACGAGAACAACCGAGACCGACCAAGACCGAGACCACCCGCACAGAGAGTCTCAGTTCGGTCTCGGTTTTGGTACATCCATAGTTATTCTATTTTAATGAATTTTCTTTAAATAGCCTTTACCACTTAGTCTTCTTAATAATGATCGTTCAAATCTTACAATTGATGAATGGAATCTTCTTTCAAATATTATTCATGCTTATGATGAAGTAAATATAATTCCACAAATGAAATATCATCTTGAACAACAATCATCATTACCACCAAAACTACGACTAAACCCATCAAAATCAATCCTAATTTTTAAGATTTTTCTCTCAACATTTCTACCATTCATTGAACACTCATCATATTTTCATGATTTATCAATTCATATACGTCAAATACTTATTCAAAATAATTCTGAAATAGCTGGTACATTAAATTCTATTTTTGTTATACGTGAAATAAAAGCATTAGATAATATGGCATTTATAACAAGTTGTACTTCAATTTATGGAGATGAAGTTATCAAACATTCTGTTCAATTAGCTGCACGATTAGAAACAAATGGAATACTTGTTAAAATAATGATTTTAATTTTAGCATTTTCAACTAATTGTTCAATTATTAATTCTTATTATTCAGGAAGTACAATGAATTTATCGAGTGCACTATCTGTACTCAATATACAAAGTATGCTTGTTACAATGTTTTGGAAATATTTAATTTATCATTATGGATTTAGTGGAGCTGTACGATGTTTTAATCATTTAATAAAAAGTGTTCTTGATATTCTTTATAGTGCAAATGAAATGAGAAATGCACAACATGAAAAAATGATTGATACACTTGTTGAAGAAACAAAACGTTCATTGACGAATTAGAATTAAAATTATTGTTTGAATATTGTATAGATTATTGTCGAAGAATTGTAGTCTTAGATCAATGTAAAGTAAGA